GAAAACAATGAAGAAACTGTTCTCTGTCGTGTTGAAAGCTACACTAATAATAAATAAGAAGATTCCACTTTGTCAGAAACAAATCCACAAAATATTGTGGCTAAGCTAAAAGAGGATGACCTAATAAATATTTTAACACACAGGGATATTGGATTTATCAAGTTTCTTACAACAGGCTCAGCAGTTATAACATATACACATCGCAAAGAGATTGTTAAAGTTGGAGCACATGAATTTCAACATAAAGAAGGTCCATTTGATGCCAAAGATGGGCGTTCTATGAGTGCATTTTGGTTCAAACGACGCCTTCTTAATGGACAAGAGGTCAATCGTTCCTGGTTGGTGTATTCACCTCTACATAAAGCAGCATACTGTTTTTGTTGTCTTGTTTTTTATCTACATGTATGACATCCAATAGTCAGTCTGCTTTCAAAACACAGGGTAGATTCTCTAAGTGGAAAAAAAAATTGAAAAGTTAAATGCCCATGAAAATAGTGACAGTCATCGTGAGTCATTTGCTGCTTGAAAAGAAACTGAGCGCCAAATTTGTCTTCAAAGTGGCATTGATGAAGAGCTGCAAAGGCAAATTCAACAAGAAAAAATAAATGGAAAGATGTACTGCGACGGTTGCTGGATTGTACACAATATTTAGCTTCTCAGAATCTTGCATTTCGTAGTCATACTGAGGACATAACCTCAAACGAAAACCCTGTCACTTTTGAAGTTATTAGCAAAGTATGATCAAGTAATGAGATAGCACATAGAGCGTGTTAAAAACAAGCAAACGTCAACATCTTATCTTTCTCCTGAAATCCAAAATGAGTTTATAAATCTCATGGCTTTACATGTGCGAAATCATTGTTTGTCAGCATTTCGTAGAAACAAATACTATGGTATTCTGTTTGATTCCACACCTGATTTAGCCCATCGTGAGCAATTGGCCCAAGTGATTCGGTTTGTTGACATTGACTTTAAGACAAGAAAAGTAGAAGTCAAAGAGTCATTTATTGACTTTATACAGATAAAGGAAAAAGACGCTGCCAATATTGAGAAAACAATAAGCACAAAATTAGAAGCGGATGGAATTTTATTAAGTGATTGTTGTTCATAATTTTATGATAATGCTGCTGTCATGTCAGGTCATCTGTCAATCGTTCAACAAAGAATTCTGAACAAAAATCCAAAAGCAGTGTTTATAAACTGTGACAACCATAGTTTGAGCTTAGTATATCTTCATGCTGCAAGTCAGGAAACAACAGTTATTACCTTTTTTTGGTATAATTGAAGCCATTTATAATTTCTTTGCTCATTCAACAACTCGATGGGACGAACTGCAGCAGGAGCTTAAGACCTCTGTCACGAGTGAATCAGTAACACGGTGGAGTGCAAGAGAAAAGGCAGTAAAAGTTCTACATGAAAAAATGGATGAAATGCTAGGACTGTTAGAGCAATTAAGTGAGAATGGCAACACGGCTGAAACAATGCGGTGCTCATAATATTCTGCAACGCATGCTTAGATTTGATCTTCTTGTACTTTTGCATTTTTGGAGAAATCTTTTATCATCTAACAATCGAGTGCAGAAACGTCTTCAGGACACAAAAATGAATTTTAGAGAAACAGCTGCTGATCTTGATTCTTTGAAAGAGAAATTGATAGAATCGTGTGAAAAGTCCTATCAAGAAGCACTTAAGGTGGGCAAGAATCAATGTGAAACATGGTGATTGATCATTGAAAGAATAAAAATACCTCGTGAACGAATGCCAGGTGAAAATGCAGCTGATGCTGGATTGACTGCTGAACAGGAAATTTATCG